TGTTTTTATTCTTTGTTTACTTTCTAATTTGGGTAGAAAAATGTTTATTTTTCGTTTCTTATATACTTGTTTTTTTTTTATTTATTACACTGCAAATTTTAATTATTTTATTTCCCCCCTGTATTAAAATCCTGTATTAAAATCTACTGTTCAGATTAACGGTTTTTTTTCACCCATACTGTTCCAGCAAATGTTCATTTGGCAACATTGCCTAGATCGAAAGAACTTTCCAACTACCCTTTCTATAAAATATCGACTAATCACGTCGAAATACAAGTGTTGACTGAGGACAGTGAGGACTGAGTGCGACAGGCAGCAAACGCTCTACTCCGAGACCGATCTAATGTGTCGTCGACTTCTGTCTCTCGGACGTGTCGCGTCTTTCGAAATGTGTTTCATATAATTGCATGTGTTCACTGTTCAGACGTGAAGAGATTGTTCTTGGTCGCCTTTGCCGTCGCGTCTGTTGTCGTCTTTCGAGCCTTCCGAAATGGTACCTTTAGATTACAAAAGAAATTCGAGACGGACGAAGGTAAACTGGACATACTCTTTCTTTTTCTGATTACTTTACATGTGGTTCCAGATAGTGCCACAGCTCAGTGCGAGTTTTATCTAAAACCTAGTGCGGGTTTATAACAAATCCAGAGCGGATTAAATAGACTGAGTGCGAGTCTAGGACCCAGTGCGGGTCCCAGGTTCAGTGAGGACTTGTTAAATCCCGAAGGCCATAACTCAAAGAGAGTTTTTATACGGCGGACGATGGTAAACTGAACATACTTTTTTCTTTTGAATCCCATTACATCGTATTCCAGATTTGCCATAAGAGGGAAAGCCCACTCACGCGACATGTCGCGCGCGACTGATCGCGTGCGGCAATACTTTTGATGTTTTTAAATGACTCAAAGCTCATTAACGCGGTTCTGTCGCGTGGTCATTTAAAAACATCAAAAGTATTTTTGGCGCGCGATCAGTCGCGCGCGACATGTCGCGTGAGTGGGCTTTCCCTCTAACTCAGTGAGAGTTTTGTATATGGCAGAAGATGGTAAACTGGACATACTTTTTCTTTTGAGTCACATTATTTTACATGGGATTCCAAATAGTATACTCGGTGCGAGTTTTTTAGAGAACCCAGTTTGGGTTTATAATATTAAATAAATTCAGTGCGATTCTAGGACCCAGTGCGGGTTCCTGGTTCAGTGTGGACCTGTTATGTTGTTTAACAGGTCCAAGATAAAAAAGATACGTTTTATATTGCGGATGCTGGTAAATTGGACATACTTTTTTCTTTCGAATCGATTTAATATACATGTGATTTCAGAGAGTACCATAACTCAGTGTGAGTTTATAACAAATCTAGTGCGGATTAAATACACACAGTGAGACTATAGAACCCGGTGAGTATCCCAGATTTAGTGTGCACATGCTAGAATCAATAGGTAAAGAAGATACTGGTTTTTTTGATAGTGTTGTCAAACATATAGAGATATTTTATATGAAGGCTAAGAATATTATTGTTCAGGTAATATTGCAAGATATTATGTTCAGTTACTTACATCCAACCATTTGTGAATTGTAATTATTTGCATTTTGTGGTTTTACTTTGAGTTTTCTTTTAAGACTTGAATCAAAAGAAAACGACTCTCTTAATGAAACTGAAGGGCCATTGCTAAATGAAAATATACTTAAAATTTTGGGCAATCGGCTCAATATGGAGGACTACTGATGGAGTTATTCAAAAAGAGGTAGTTGCCTCATGACTAGATATCTTGGGTTTAGGACTGTATTTACAAGTCATGGCTTGTTTCGGTATATCCTTACATTGCCCTTTGATAGCGCCACGGAAAGTCAACCCAAAGACTAAGGCAGCAGATCCAATACAGCTTTTAAATGAGGTTAAAGTCTTTACAGATCAAGTTAGGGTCTAGTCTGTCCTCACTTGGTAAGACACTCATCTTAATTCTTGGTTGAGCGGAAGATGTTGAAGTGAAGCTAACAATTATTGTGAAACTACTAAGTGATGTTGTCCGTCTCCTATGCTATACTCATCAAAAAATTTCCCCTCCAAGTCCATTTTAAAATCCCCTTTAATTCTCCCTAAAACGTGATGAAATTTTTAATAGCTCTTAGGTCCGTATTTATAAACAGAACTCAGCTGAGTCGGACTTGGGTAAGTCGTCCTTGAACGAAAATCGAAGTTCGGTTATATCGCGTGAATTTAGAGATGAGTAGTAACAAATCTGTAAATGTACTTAACAGTTACACATTTGCTAATATCCATCTCTAAATTCTAGTGTAACACCGGAACCACCTGGAACTTTAGAGACGTTGTAACCGAACTTCGATTTTAGTTCAAGGACGACTTACACAAGTCCGACTCAGGTAAGTTCTGTTTATAAATAAGAACCTTAGTTCTCTGGCAGAAGAACCGGTGATAGTATTTATTTATCAACATAAGAATGCAGGTAGGTTAAAAATAAATGATTGTTTTAAGATACTTCATTCTAGTTTATCATTAGGCTTTATAATTAACAGGAAAGAAGGGTGACTTCAGTCCAACCTCTGCCCTTAATTTCTTAGAGTTTAATTTTAATTCGACACTAACGACCATGTCTCTCGCTAAAGAGGATGAATATTTTAGGTTTGCTCAATTCTTTCAATTTCAATTTCTGTCCAATTAAAGATGTTTTCTGAGTGGGAACTAATTAATAAGGTATATTTTACATAAGTGCATGAGGTATGGAAGAAATATCCTTATCCCTCAATCTTTGACACATTTACCTTAGATTGGTCAGATTATAACTTTTATAGTTTTGTGTCTTTTTTCTTTCAGTAATACAGAAAATTATAAATAATTTCGAGTTTTACTCTTTTGACATAAATGAACATGCCTCAGTTGTGGTAGTAGCGCCCTTTCGGACTACCAAACCTGTTTACAAGTGTTTTGAGTTCAAAACTAATTAATTTCGACCCTGATCCCTTACTTTAATTATCTGAACTACACACTCTTGGGCAATAAACCTTTCCCTGGTGACAGGATTTTATCCAACAGGGATTTACCTCAAAGTGTCCGGACTCCAATAAATACTATTGAAGCTATTCTGTCATCTATTTCAACTTCTACCTTAAAAGAATATATGGTGGGGTTGAAACTTTGGTGAAAGTTTGGTATGTCGGAGAGAACAGACCTTTCACAGGTGATATATTTAAGATCTTTTAAATTTCTGCAAGGCCGGTTCCAGGAGAGTTTAACATATACGGGTCATATAAAAACTATAGGGCAGAACTTTCTTTGATTTTGTCATTTAACATTGGACTTTAGGATCAAAAAGTTTGTTTAAAGTCTTTAGTGATCTAAGATTTTCTCTACAAAGGTACGACTTATTTTGGAACCCATTAACAGTGCGGCATACCCTTCAACGACCTAACTTGGAACCCATTAATACCTTCTGGAATTAGTGTTTCAATAAAGAAATCCCTGTCATATAATTATCAGAAAAATTAGTAATATTATTAGCATTATTTACTGCGCATAGAATGCAAACCTTTAGCCTTATTAAATTAGATTTTAGAGTATATTATTTGTAGAACTGATAGGGTCAAGTCATCAGGTAGAAACAAATTACAACTCTTCCTTTCAGACCTTAAGTCGTTGGGTAAAGTGATCTGAACTTAGATATAAGGTCCACAGCAGGCTTGTCGTTTTATAACGGGCCTATAAGGCAGGATCCCACCACTTTTGCAGTGACCATTCTAATTTAGCTTATTGTGGATTGAACTTTTGTTTGTTTTTGTTACACTTGTAAACATTTTCATAAAAAAATCAAAGGTTGTAGGTGTGCACACACTGATAGTTAAGAACTAAAACGCAAAAAGGTATTTTAAAATATGTAGGGTTTTTAATAAATGTCAAGCGCTTCGTCTATTTAAGCCATCATCGAGACACTATAAAAAAGAGAACCACTGTAATATAATAGAGTGCAACCTCTTTAATCCGAACACCTAATTGTCAGACCTTGTTCGGATTACCGAATTGTTCGGATTAACGAATATACAATAAAACACCTCTTACACATTTTTAGACCTTTAGATCTATGTATGTATAATGATTTTTGTACATTTAAATGCATTATTATCAAACTACATAATATGGGCGACGCAGGCCGCGCTGCAGGTCTTTTCCTGTCAGCATTCGGATTACAGACAGAGGCGGCGTTCGGACTATTTCGCATCACGATTTGCGTTCGAATTAGCGTAATTCGGATTAGCGTGGGTTCGGATTATCGAGGTGGCACTGTAATTGTAAATAAAGGTATAAAATTACTTACTCGTCAAAATTTGTAAACAATTATTAATAAGAACATCATTCAAAGTAAAAATAAAAAGGTAAAGGACAAACGACATCTAATTAACTGACAAACAAACAAAAATGGGTTACTGATTTGATTTTGGGGAGAACCTCCTATTTGAGGGATGTCAGGAGCACGTGGATGGCACCATTCTTGTAGGTTAGAAGTGTCACACCTTACAATACGTAAAAGTTTTTTATCTCACTAGAGGGCGTTAAAATAAAAAGTAACGCAATGAATATTTATATTGCTGAATTCTCCATAAAATTATCTTTCAAATGATGTGTTATTGTATTTTAAAAAAATAGGGGATTAGTTCCTACGATTCATTATAAATATTTGCTAAAATACTTTTATTATTTAAATTCATGTTGCTGTATGTTTTTAAAATTTGTGCATCAACAAATTAGCCAGTAATACAGTTATTTACTTGTTTAGTGAAGCTCATTGTACACAAAAAATAATCAAGCGTCCCAGAATCGAGCCCTGGAGTATTCTCTTTGGGACTGGGGGAACTTGACACTTTAGTATACATGGACAATTTCTAACAGTGAATAAAAAAATAGATATAATTTGAAGTATCATAATAGTGCAATTTAGCGAACAGTGGCTTATGTTTTATGCATTATTTATTTAATTAAATTAATGACTTACCTCAGTCTCGCTTCCATAGAATCCATAAGGCGAATATATTTCAGATTCAGTCTCACTTCCACAATATGTCAACGACATACTTCTAGGAATATTTCCATATTTAAAGTATTCCCCAGAAACATCAATAGTGCTTTCGGATCGCTTCCCTAATCTCAAATTTTTACTTTTTGGACTTCCTTTGTCTGGACTAGAATCGCTATCAGGCGACGATGACCTCGTTGAGTTTATATAATCATATACATTTTCAGTAGCATCTTTTCTAACATTAAGGGGTTCATAATTGTGTATCTGTTTTCGCACCATTTGTTTTTGTTGTAAAGCAGCTTCCCTCTCTCTCATACTAGCCGTCCTTACGGGTTTATTGGGTACAATAGAAGACCTAACCTCGCCTATATTGGCATATACAGTCTCTTGTTGCTTAGTTGCAGAGTTATTCCTAGATAGTTGCTTTTGTTTGTTCAATATCTCAATAGATTTTGGTGGCGTCGGCAAACTTGGTTTATTGGAATTATATTCGTGATGATTTCTTGGAGGAGGCGGTGGTTTGGCGGCTTTAGGTATTGGGTAACTTTCATATTCACCATTAGGTGTACTATACTCGTGACCTACGGACTGGTAATCCACTTGGTCTAAAAGTTGTTTAGATACAACCTCCACTTTTGTTCCATTTAACTCACTAGGGTGAACTATGACCAACTTAGGCTTATTTTCATCATGTTTAATACTAACCTCGGTTGTGAGCTTAGGTAAGTCTTTATGGGATCCCATTCTTAAAAATTTCTTTAAAGAAAACCTAGCTTTATTTTTTTCTTTTCGTTTATCGTCTACAGCTAAACAATCGGTGGATAGGGATTTTCTTGGCAAAGGATCCGCGGAAACATAAATAGCTTCCACTTCGCTGGACTGTTCGCGTGTACTTCGAGTATATAATAATTCCTCTGGAGGTAAAGGAGCTTTTCTTTTATTACATTTAGAGTCTAATTCGTTAGAATCTTGTCTGTTTAATGGTATGTTTTCAGGAAGTTTGTTGAATGTCTGTATAACCTGAGTTTTTTTCAACATAACTGTAGTGGGTTTGGAGGGAATTTTAGGTTTTTCGTATAATGGTTGAGTACCATGCAGAAAAGAACTTTGCGATTCTAAAACAGGAGGAGGAGTTTTCGGTAAAGGTGGAGTCTCATTTGATACTGGATCCTCTCTACCATCAGGTTTGCCGGCCAGATCGCGACTTTGAGAGAAAGGAATATATTTTGCAGGAATAGGTGGGGGCAGACTTGTTACTTTATCTTCTAGTAATTTGTTTTCAAATGCGTTTGCTACGGTAGAATTTATTTCATCTTTAACGTCTTTCGTATCAGAAAAATCTGATTTTGAATGCAATATTTCAGCTCTGATGAAGTTCGAAGTAGTTTGCATATCTTTTTTGTCTGCTTTTATATTATTTACATCAACTTTTTCTATATTCTTGGAATCAGTTTTAACCTTAGCAGTGTTAACAGAGTCTTTATTTAGTTTTATATTTTTGGTATTCATTAACTCTATTTTAGCTGTAGATGTTTGATACATAACCGGTTTTTCTGAATCTCTTTTTAGAGCTGGAGTTCTACTAAGATTAATTTTTTTCTCGGATACTAAAGATTTTTGGATGGACTGAGTTTGGTCTTCGATATTTTCTTTATTAGACTCATTTGTCAGAAGAATTTCTTTTTGCGCCTTTTTCTTTACCATAATCTGTATAGGGTTCTTGCCATTTTCTAGAGTTTCTGATATTTCATCTAGTAATGATTTCTCTTCCTTTGATTCTCCGTTCTTGGAGTATGAGGTTAGTATAACATTAGTTTCATTTTCTGCTACTATTTCTTTATTATTGCTTTTAGCTCTAGGAATTTGGGATACGGTTTTTGTGTTTATTTTTTTGATATGAGGGGTGGAGTCTTCACCAAAAGGTGTTACAGATACTAATAAAGTTTGTTTCTTACCACTAGAATCTACAACGGGCTTTCCTAGCAGAAGTTGCGTGTAAGACTTCTTAATTTCGATATCTTTTAGAGATACTGTATTAAAATCTGTATTTTCCTTTGTGATTCTTTGTAATTCTTTTGATGATTCCTCATCTGAATCTACCACTATCTCATCTTCGCTACTATCGTTATCATCTACAGTGTCTTCGTTATCTGAACACCAATCTTCACCGCCATAACCTATTACTTCTACTAAATCTTTATCAAAGCATACAGAGTTTTTCGTTTTCGCCTTTTTATTACTTTTGATTATTCCAGATACTTTATCATTAGATATTAAATTAATCGGTTTTGGTTTAGGTTTTTCTTGATGTTCATCTATCGATTTAAAGCAATTTGAACATAATTCTTTTTTCCAAGCATTTTGTACGAAGTTCTGGCATATGGCTGATGACATTATTTGGGTGATTTCGATTTTTTCATTGGATTCTGAAACAAGAAACAAAATATGTTATTATTTTTGTACAATATAGAAACAAATCAAATACGTGAAAATATATTAACAGAGTTAAAAAAACTGGGGAAGATAGTTTGGGACTAATTGAAAATATAAATATTTTCGAAATTAAAATAACTAGCAGTAAGTTCCAATTATCCACCATAAACAACTTTTACAAAATGGTTAAGACAAATCATTTTTACTTTCCTGTATCCAGTAAGGAAAGTATAGAAATCAGTATTTTTTTGCGATCTTGCACAAAAAAAAGCACTAACTGTAGTATATTTTATTGACCATTCCATACAAAATATAGTTAAAGTCACACAATGGGTGAAAATACAGGGTGTCCCAATGAAAAGTAGCACGTTTCTATTTGATAAAATTTGGTTACGGTGAATTTAAAAGAGATTTTTAAAAAACACCCTAGGTAATACATAATTTTTGTAGCAAAACTAATAGCAAAATAACACATATCAACAAAAACCCCACGTTTCTACGAATTTGTTTAAAAGTTACAAGCTCTGGAAATGGGCTACTTTTCATTGGGACGCCCTGTACAATGTAAATGAAAAATATAAATGAATCATATCAATGAAACATAATTTAAACATATAATTAATTATATATAATATAATTAATAATAATAATAATAATTAATAATAATAATAATATTAATAATAATAATAATAATTCAGAATCAGAATTCAGAAAAATGCCGACAATGGTTCATTTAAAATAATAAAAGCTAAGTAATAAATTCCGGAGTAATCGAAACTATTCAAAATATTATAGAATATAGAACATACCCAAAAATCCATTCCAAATTTAAATTTCAGTTCTGTTTAGAATCTTAAAACATCTTAATACGAACGTACCTATCAAGGTGTGTTGACATTGAATGCCGATTCCATTAAACTGAAATTAAAAATATACCAACTGGTCAGAGTTTCAAATTTGTAAAAGTATATCTGTGAGAAAATGAATGGACGCGCATATCAACAAGCATAAATAAGAATAAGAAGAGAGAAGAGTGAAGTCTGAAGTCAGCGACCGGTTGAAATGGTTTTTACCAATTCGAATTCCATAGCCTGCAGACTTAGGTCAAGCTAATAATAAGTAGTCGTAGAAGTTCGAGACTTACAAATGGCTTAAGACTAGTCGCAAGGCACGTACGATGTGATTTTTTCTTCCTAGAATAGTTTCGTTCTATCAGGGGTGTCGCAAGGACATTTTTGGGGGAGAAGGAAGCATTTTTCCAAACACGGATTACATTATTTTCCCAATTTAAATTTTTTTATTAAATTTAGTAAAAAATTTAAAATTGAGGCTTATTTAAATCCTTTTTATTACAAAAAAAAAAAACAATAAAAAACAAAAAACAAAAAAAAAACAGTATTACTTTGGTATAATACATAAACAAAACGAAAATAAATAAAAAACAAACAAACAAACAAGAACCTAACATATGTTGATAATATGACTCCAATGTAATCATTTTTTGTAAAACCTAGCAACCAAGCTTGTCATGTTTTGTCAATGCTTTTGTACTGTAACTGTAAATTATTAATTATTAATTATTTTCGGACAACGATAAAAAGTAATTTTTTAAAATTTAAAATTTTGCAAAATAAATTAGGCAATAATATCTCGAATATGCATACATTTTAAAGTTTTAATTCCTTACAATTTCCGAGAAAAAAATCAAAGGGCTTTAAATTTTGAAATATAATGAAAAATTAGTGACTAAAACGCATCATTGTGCTATCTTCGGTGTAACGCGCCTGTAATTATCGTATCGTACACTCTTAGTCATCATTCGTTTCTTGCAACGATTTACACTAGTTTACATCAGAAGATTTATTTTCATTATGATATTTCAAAATTTAAAGCACTTTGATTTTTATCGGAAATTGGAAGGAGTTAAAACTTTAAAATATTTGCAATTTCTAGATATTATTGCCAAATTTATTTTGCCAAAATTTTAAATTTTTAACAAATTACCATTTGAGATATCGTTGTCCGAAAATTATAAAGGGTGCTGTAATCACCTTAAGCTGTCATATTTTATAAATTCGTGATATTAACTACCGAATTATAAAGAGTCTTCATATACCGAATATAACTTTTGATATCGATTCTATGAATAATCACATAAAATAATTTACTCGCGTGTTGTCAAATTTTTGACACCATTCGTGCTTTAGCTTATGTGATTATCGATAGTCCCGAACCGCTCGTTAAATTGGTTAAATTAGACAAAAGTTGCGCAGTTTTGTACTCATTAAAATGGTGCCAAGAAACCTTTGATATCTATATATTCGAAATATCGGACAAAAAATGAATGAATTTAAAGAAATAACAATTTTCATTTTTTGTCCGATATTTTTAATCTTTCTGTAGATATCAAAGGTTTCTTGGCACCATTTTAATGAGCACAAAACTGCGCAATTTTTATATAATTTAACCAACTTTCTATCTGTTACTGCTTAAGAAATAGCAATACTGTCCCTATAAAATATAGTATGTATTATGGTGCTATTTGTAACAAAACCGCTCTAGAAATGAATTATGTAGTTAGTCCCCTACATGTAGGGGACTAAGCAGGGGCGGTTTTTCCATTGGTTCATTTGTGCAGTGAACACCCAGTTACATTTCATTAAAACACATTATTTTAAAATAAATAACATAAAAATATAAATTTAATTTTAATAATTTTATTGTTTTCATACGTGTTAATCTCTATTTTTTGGTACGCCACTGCGTTCTGGCTAATCGCGTCTCTTTGGCTCACTTTTCTGAGTGGTCCCGATGGAATGAGATGCTTTACCGAAAGCCTCTAGCAAAAAAGAGATGTCAACACGTTAGCAGATCGGTGAAACGAACAATGACCTACTTAAAATCACTGAAATCATCTTATTTTGCACAACGCACACAGTGACGTCACAAAGTAGGACGGGGCATACGAATCTTTCAAATCATAGATATAGAATAAAGAGATTTCAGGGGTATTCTATATCATGCATCACAATAAAATTTGACATAAAAAGATAACACTATGTTCAATGTTCAATAACCTTACAAGTTAAACGTTAAGCAACACTTTTTAACTCTCACGTTAGTCGTACTATTTATAGAGGCATGTTGGAGGTATATATGACACTATGTTATAGATAATTTATTATCAGAACATAGAAATATGTTACAAAAAGCAACAATTCATGTATATTAAAAAAAAAGTTTTAATAGTTAGATTATTAGTAAACAATACATATTGTGACAACATTCAGTCTGATCTACTAAAAAGTTGACTAGAATGACAGCACAGTTTATCTCCGAGGTATCTATATACCTATTAAATAATTTTCAAAACTTTGAGTTTATCATTCTTTTAGGGTACCTATCTTTTAGGCTATTATATTATTGTTTTAGCCTTGATTATATTTATTATTCTATTCTTCACGCAGTAGTTTGTGAAGAGTACTATAGGTTTACTTTCTCTGATGTCACGTTTTTTTGTCTGCACGATAAGTCAAAAACGAAAAATAATATCAACTTAAAAATTTTAGGCAAAAATCAAGTTCTACAAGGGGACAAAGCCTACTGATTTTGAAAACATCTGATTACAAATAGGGGTTCAAATTAAAAAAAAATCCTAAATTAAAAACGAAAAGCGATATCAACATGAAATGTTTAGTAAAAATGAAGCCAATAAGAAAAAATGAAGCCTATTAATTCTGAAAAAATCTGAATAAATTGGGAAGTTAAGGGGGGTTAAAATATTAAAAAAAAATCCTAACTCAAAAACGAAAAATGACATTTTTAGCAAACATCAAGCTCTATAAGGAAAAGAAGTCCTTTGATTTTGAAAAAAGAAAAAATCTGATTAAAAATGGGGGCCTTAAGGGGGGTTAAAATTAAAAAACAATCAAAAATGAAAAGCGATATCAACATGAAATTTTTAGTAGAAATCAAGCTCTATAAGAAGATGAGGCCTATTAAATGTAAAAAAAAATTAAATAAAAGTGGGGGGGGGGGGTTAAGACGGTTGAAATATTTAAAATAAATCTAATTCAAAAACAAACAATAATATCAACTTGAAATTTTTGGAAAAAATCAAGCTCTACAAGATAAAGCCTATTGATTCTAAAAAAAATGTGATTGAAAATGGGGGTTAAGGGGGGCCTGTTAAACTGTAAAGAGTATAATTTAGAATGCCACGCATTATCTTCATTCTAGTTTGTATCTGTGTAATATTATGTATTGTGATGGGACTGATCTACTAAAATACACATTTTAGTTCACTTGTTTTTTGCCAATAAAAGGTATTTAAAAAATATATTATTTTAGTTGACAAATGTGACAAATTGTGAAAATGAATAAATTTACAATAAAAACTGAACAATTGTTCAATCAAAGGGTTTAGATTTGTAACCAATTTTACTACAGGTAAGTATAATAATCATATCTAATTACGAAAACATTAAAAATATATATTTTGTTACTTGCCTTTAAATTTATAAAAACTAATTGCCTATTCAAGTAAAAATAATGGCTTGGAACTTTTATTATAGGTATTAAAGAACTAAACACTGATTTTATTGAATTCTATAGTAATACCGAAAGGATAATTTACGTTCTATATTTTCCTTCAGTTTTGTCAGTACAACAGTTATATATAAGTATTTGATCGAAATAAAGTCTGTAGCTTCGGGAGCAGATAAGTTAAATATTCACATGCTACTTCTTTGCTGTCCTGAAATTTTACCTATAATTACACATATCATAAATATTTGCCTCACCGATTGCATTTTTCCGCAATCTTGGAAGTTATCAAAAGTCTTTCCTTTGCCCAAGAAGAAGACCGTAACGAGTGTGAACGATTTGCGTCCCATCTCTATCCTGCCAGTGTTATCCAAAGTAATTGAAAAAATCATGAAATTTCAATTAAATATTCACTTAGAAAATAATGAAATACTTCCACTGCGACAGT